GAAGTCTTATGAAAAGCAACCGCCAAGATTGAGTTATTGGATTTGGGTTTGCTATGGATATTGTTGTAATATTAAGATCTTTAAATTTTTTGATCTAGGAATATCAAGCCACTCCCCAACATTGGCTTGCTTTCATTTTAAGAGTGTTTTCGATTGACAAAAACTAAAATCTTCGACCAGACAGACTAAAGCTTCTCCAATAAAATGTGGAATTCCCATTATGCAATCCAGTTTTCGACTACAAAATTTATTTGGTTCTAATAATGACCAGACAGTCTTAAGATGACTAGACTGTGACTAGAATTTACATATATTAAAGCTTTAAAGAATATTAATAGCATTGTTAAGGAATAAATACATACATACATATATACATACGTCATGCATATAGTCTAGAATTAATGCATCCTTTTTCTTATAATTATTTATGCAATCTTCTTTAAAGTGTTAGAGATAACCAAAAAAAAAACCAAGATACCATTTTATTATGTATACACTTGCCCACACTGGACTTCTTTGAACCTACTCAATTCTGGCATCCTGATGTGCTTGTCCAATCAATTTTAATTAATTCTTGGTTATTATAGTCAATTAAATTATATCTATTCACTTCCCTTAAGGATTCTTAATAATAGTTTCCTTTGGTGCCTTTTAAATACTGATTTCCAATTTCCTCCTACATACCACAAAGCGGATTAACTACCTGTTCATAACTTCCCCAAGATTAAAGAGCACCAAAGAATGAAACCAGACTGTTCTCCACTCCACAACGCAATAACACACCAGCAACAATACGAGTATGTTCTGCTCAAAGAGAATCGCCCCCAAGCGTTTTTAAATCTTCAAATAACCAAGGAAAACATCAAACAGAACGCAAAGTTGAAAAACGCAATTCAAGTAAGTTCCAATTAGCACGTCGCAAATGGAGATTTCTAAGAGTCTGGCAAATGTTTACGGTAGCCATAACCCCCTCCCCATCCCATCCAAAAGCCACGACCTTGAGGGTGTTAGAAGATTTGCCAATAATTATCGTGCTCCTTATTATTGTCAAAATAAATCATAATTAATAACCCGTGTGTGTGCCCATGCAATTCTAATCAAATGGGCCATCATCAGCAAAAAATGAAGTTTTAGGAAACCAAATGAAAGAAATATATACGCAATACATACATATGTATTCATAGAAATATATAGACAAGTCACAGTAATAAAAAAAAAACACGTTGAAAACACGTTCGTTTTTCGGACCTCTGGCCGGAAGTTAGATGGTGGATCGAAACGAGAATTCTATGGGGTCTCTCAGAGATCTAAGAGGTAAGGAAGTAAAATAGGTTAATGCTTGTATCGGCTCGGTGCGGCGCTTAGCGACGTGGCCGTCTTCCAACTGAGTTACGTTCATGCTGGTCCGGTGGTTCTAACGGGTTTTTCAGCGAAGGCTACCCGTTGATTCATTTGCGATTGTCTTGGCCAATCTCCGTGTTTATGGATTAGACAGAGTTCAGCATATTTTCGGCGTTCGGTCAACAGGGCACGAGGTTAAATTTTCGAAAAGGAAATAACAATTTTTTCAGACATGCGCCACCGGCACCTGGCCGAATTTGATAGCATACGAGTAGAACAAATAATACTCGTAGAATTTTGTTATTTCTTGACCATAATTATTGCGGAAATTGTCGAACGATGAATTGTGGTTTTGTTGTTGAACAGTCATTAGGGGTTTGGGTTTATTTTTTTTATAACTAAAATTGCTTCCCATTTTTGTTTTCGGTTGCCTTTGGGTCTCACTTTCAGTAGTAAGTTTCCTCCGTATAATAGTGAATCTCTTTCGGAAGCTTTGTACATTCCTTCGGTGGAAATTCCCTTCTCTTAGCCCTTAGCCCTTCTCTTTATATATTTTTTTCGGCAACAGTATTACCCTTAAGTACAATGTACATTTGTAGATCTTACGATTAACTTAGTATAGTACGTATGCCCAAAAAAGGGGTCTAAAAAGGTCCAAAACGCTAAGTAAATAGTGATCTCAGTACTAGACTAAATACTCATAAATGAATACACAAACAGATAAATATCGTTATACTGAAATTCAAGACATTTATAAGATTTAATTTGAGCTATTAAAGCAATGATTAAGCAAGTTAACTATGATATTATAGTATATGACGTATAAGACCGTTTTTAGATGCATTTCAATAATTTGCAACAAGTAACAATTTTTGATAGACTTTTGACTATTTATTTGATTTAAATAGTTCATTTAAATAGTTACTTATTCTAACGACATTTACTGTTTACGTTACGTTAGGTTTATTACGTTTTCTAGGCAGACAGCTGTGAAGTCCCTACAGATGTTTATTCTTTGTACACTCTTTGGCTAAACAACCACCAAAGCATATTTGAAGCAACAGCTGATTGTCTCTCTCTCTCCCGCCTTTTTGTGTTCCTTGCTCTCACAGCTTGCCAATGCGCAGGCGCCCGAAACGTCAGACAAGCGACAAGCAAAGGGAAACGAAGACAAAGCGAAAAGCAGTCGAAAAATATAAATAAGCGAACAAATAAAACGAGACAGACACAAAAAGAATGCCCGAAAGTCATACGTAAATCGATTTGCATATTTTGGTAATTAATTCAATCGATTAGGCGATGCCGGCTAAACCGTAACTTAAACGATCAACAATTACAGAAACGTAGTACATTTTAGTGTAACAAAAAACGGAAAAAAATCAATTGAACAACACAACGAATATTTTTTTTTACCAAAAGACCAAAACGAGAGTGAAAATGAGAGAGAAGGAATTGATTCCATTTGTGGTATTTTTTTTTGGATTGTGCAAAGTTCGAAATTAACCTTACACATTTTTATAAGTTTTTTGACCCATGGAGCGCCGGCCAAGCTTCTTGTTAAAAATGCAAATGAAAATCTAGAAAACGCACGTACACAAAACAAACGATATCAAAATCAAGCAACAAATTTGCGTATTATTATTATGCAATCCAAAGATGTGACGAAATCGTTAAGAATGGCCAACAAATATCATTTCAATCAATTAACATAACCTGTTTTTATGCTACAAACAGAAAGAAACATCCAAAGAGCAAAGTACGTTGAGAGAGAGAGAGAGGGGCGCGCAAGAGAACCATGTTGCGGCAAAACAAGGAGCGACAAGCGACAGAGAGAGGATAACTGGATCCAGGGTGTATAAATATACATACCATACCTTCACGGAACCCAAAAATATAACATTTAAGCAAATTTATGTGCTGTCCGACTTTCTTCTTGTTTCGGGCAAATGCGACTTATAAAATACATGCATATATCAGCATCAGTAGTCGGAGATTTTGAGGGGAAAGTGAACCAGAGTATAAGAAGTTGAGCTCCATAGTACGATTGTTATAATGACCATGTGATTAATGCCGGCATTTCGCTTTCAATTTCACTCTCCTCTCCCATCACTTAACAGTGCACTGTTGTGTTGTCGGCATGCAAGAGAGACCTTACAGCTTGTGTGACACTGTAAAGCGTCTAGCTTGTATTGCATTCTGTTTTATGTATGTAGTTCTATTAAGATTGTATGATATTTAATTATACACAATACTTGTGAGTCATATTTTGATATGACTTTGAAAGCAAGTTGAAGAGGTAGTCGAAACGCTAAGCCCCCCCAAATCTAGGCACAGCTCCTCCAAAATCTCCTTTGCGAAGGCCACAAGAAAATTTAGGAGGACTATGGTATCAGAAATTATAGAAATATCTAAATAGTTCATACTTATTTCTGCTTATATATTTGTCCTCAAATATGAGAAAATCAATGAAGAGTTTTTATTTAGTGTCATACATGCCTAAGATTATGTTAGCATGACTTTTACATGTGTAAAACATTTCTTATCAGACGAGAGTAAAAGAGAAACAAATAATGCTTTCCAGCTGTAAATATATTCGTGTGAAAAATTCCCAAAAGCTCATCTGTATGATTCTGAGATATGTATCTTAAAATACATATGTACATAAAGCTCACCTTTCTTCAGATGAAATTTGTAGGACTGACTAATTATAATATCACTTTAATATTGTCATAATTAAGGCTAACCGCCTCATAAAGTTGTTAGATCAAATTTAAATTCGCTTTAATGGGAATGCACTCAAGTAATTACATTTTTATGCTTAGCAAACGGATCTTAAAGTTAATTAGTATTCTCCGAGACTTCGTCTCCGTTCCGTCCTTCTGATGCAGCTGCTGATAAATGTACAAGACAACAGCAGAAATATAAACCTTACACTACTGCACTTAGCAGCATAAATCTCAATTCATTTTCATGTCCAATGAGAAACAATTAGGCAAACTGCAAACCATAGCAAAATGCAACAATAAAAAGGCAGAAATAAATTAATAGCGTAAAGCGAAACGCAGCTAAAAGCAACATAAGATTAAAAAACAACAAACAGTAGACGAGAGAAAGATTTTGATGGGGAGACGAAGCTTTTGATACGCTAGCAGGATGATCGTTTCCGTTGAAAATATATGAATGATATAGTCATCCAATTCTTATGAAATGCCATTTCGTTCTATTTGTTTGATTATCTTAAAAAAAAAAACAGTTTCCTCCACTACGAATTATTTCTGCCACATTATTATTTTATCAGAAAAACAAAGAGTCTGGAAAAAAAAGTCCGATCCGAAACTGAGGAATTTCTTTAATTTTCCTTGGCGAAAATCATTTCCAAATCGTAACATGTTCACTACTAGGGTAGGGTATAACAAGCTGAAGCTGCCGCTGATCGGAGCCGGAGCTTCAGCTCAAGCTCAATGACGTCACAGCCAGAGACGCGAGACGAGACAAAAAAAAAAAGCTATGCTTGAGCGTTCGGTTGGCAGAGCGCGAACAGTAAGCAGCGCCGTCAGCTTTAGCTGCCCAGCTCCAGCTTCGAAGTCGGCGTCAACGTCGCATATCCAATAGCGCGCCAAAATAAGAAGTCGAAATTCATTCCTTTCGAGCCCCACAACGTTCAAATTCGTTTGCTACGCTCTCGAGAGCGGACGTGCCGTGCGGACAAAATCCAAAAAAAACCTCAGAGCCCCAAAATAAAAATACAAGAAATATACCACAAAAGCTATCTTTGCTTGCGGTTGCGTTTCGTTTGCATTTAAATTACAAACAAAATTACGAAAAAAAAAAACCGTAAAATTATTACCATTTCAAAATCGTTTAGTGTTCTGTTCCAGAGTGAACTAAATCTAACAAAAATAATTCAATATAAAAGTGCAAAAATCTGTGAAAATGGAGAAGAACAATAACAATCTAATGGCTGACGAACTACCCAATGGAAATGGTCTTCCGAATAGAAATGGACATGGTATCCCCAATGGCCATGGAGGACATGGCCTGTCCAATGGCAATGGTGTGGTCAATGGCCAGGAAACAGTAGCACCTCCTGCCACTGGCTGGCGTCAGACTCTATGGAATAGCTGGGATGCCTTTGCGGACGTGGCCTGGTTCATCATCTGCTGTGTGGGATTCATTTTTCAGGTAGGTTAAATGCTTGACCACACATCACAAAAGTCTTATTCAGATGCATACCTCATGGCCAGTCAGACAGACAGACAGACAGACATTTGTGTGCCTATAACTTTGCCAGAGGGCAAAACCTTCTGAATCTCAAACGCTTTTGTTTACAACTGATTAATTAACAACAAATGAAGGTTAGATTTTGGAGACTGAAGCAACAGATAGCCAACGTTTTTATGGCAGTAGTGGTAGTGGTAGTAGTCAGCAGTATTATGCGTCAATAGTTTAGGTTTTCATGGGGAAATATTAGATTAAAGTTCGATTGGATTGCATGTCGATGGCAGCCTGAAATGTAGAAAGAAAAACTTGTTTAGATATTATTAAAAACCTGTTCGAATTAAATAGAAACACATTATACTACAACTTCTAACGAGATATTTTCTGGATAAGTAGTTTTTTCCCACTGACAGTGACAGTTACACCGAGTTTTCCCAAGCCAGTTTAAGCTGAAATAGTCGATAGAAATACCTGCATCTACTCAAATGAAAAATACATCTATGGGATTGGTAGTTCTACCCTTTAGTCTAAGCCGAAATGATAATAACCTCTGCAAAGTTTTTTAAAGACTTAAGTCCCATTTGTTTCTTTCGCTTAAAGGAATAATTCACCTTCGTGTTTTTAAGTCTTTCGGTTGATTAGCAACATTGTGTGATTTATTGGATGCCATTTACCTTCAGCCATTCAGAAAATGTGTCATTGCTGCCAGAACCGAACCCCAACTCAAGCCATTCGCATTGCGTGCAAAAATAATGAACGACAACATTTAAGTTATTTAATTAAGTGCCAAAAGGATGCCCTCTCAGGCAGGCCACTTGTGTGATAAATGGCCAAAAGTAATGGCCAATGCCGATGGCAGCACGTGTGACGTTTAATTGGGGCCATGAAAGAGATTTAAAGCATTAAGATCAGGCGGAGACAAGTTTTCAGATGCTATCTGTGATGGGTTGTCTCAGGGAGGAGGCAAAAGCCAGTTAAGGGACGGACCCAGGATGATGTAAAACCAGCCCGCAAACGATGTGAAGTTATTGAGTGAGATAATTTATTTTGATTTACGAATATACATATTTCGAGATAGCATGATCAAAGGAGAGCATACAGCATATGAATTCCTGTTTTAGGGGGACAGATATTTATTTTGTTTATAACTTAATTTGCTTTGAGTTGTGAATTTTTGATTATTGGGATCTGCAAAGAACTCCTTTAAATATTCAGACAATCCTGGAATAAAAAGAGCAGGAGTGTTTTTTTAACATATAGAGTGCGGGAGGTAAAATTCTAAATACACAAAAAAAATGAGTGCAATTAAATTATAAGTATTAAATCAGTATTACATCACTATTCAGATTTATTACGATATTCATAGAAAAATAACAAAACCGGTTCCAGATCTCATTAGAAAATTATCTATAAATCCCGATCTATACTAAAAGTTGGAAAGAATTGATAAACAATTCAATGAAATTGCACCGCTAGCAATTATAGGTAATTATTGTTTAATAAAATCATTAATCAAACTCGAACTTAAAATATGCAAATGGCAGGTCGAAAACAACAACTTAACCCGTCTTGGGATACGTTTTAGTCTAGTCATAGACTTAAACTTAATTAATTGCATTCAAAACGGTCAAGTGAGATGGCAAATCTGTCTAAATAAATGATCAAATCATCAGTAAACTGATTGAATTACCCTCAAGAGGGGATCCCAATAAGGGCTCTGAGGGAATTTTCAAATTTTTGACTTAAATTGAGAGATAGGCAACAAAGTGGCTAGCTTCAAATTGCCAGCCAGCTGACACGCTAAGTGGTTTTTAAATAAAACACAAAACAAAGCAAAAGCAGAAACAACAATAAATAAAAACAATTTCAATTTCGTTGCATAAGACTCCTCGGTTTTTGTGGTAATTATATTTTCACTTTACCGCAAAAACCAAAAGCCCAAAGAGAGACCTTTTGTGTGTGTCGCTTTGGGGTGGAGAAAGATATGATCGTGAAATGTGTGGGATGAATGCAGTCCCAGTCCCCCGCCTAACCAATTTCTATCCGTATCGTGTGGATCATTATGCATGGAACTGCATAGCAAATGGCAGGGGGTACTGAAACAAGTGACATTTGCATGCCAAATGCAAAAACCTGACGCTCATTACCTGAGCAGCAGCAGCAGCAGCAGCAGCACTGAGCAGCGTCTCTAAGAGCCGACTCAAATTTGCATTTCAATTTAGTAAACTTTGTAAAACCATACGGGGGCTTTACACGACAATGATTCTTAAGATCTGACAGGGTTGAATGAGTTGTCGTTTGGAATACCCTGGATATAATGGAGGGAATGGTATGTTGTAATCGTGGGGATGTTTGTAACAGCTAAAGAAAATTTGTCTGATCAAAAAACGAATAAATATATTCATGCTTTGGTCCTTTATAAAAGAATCAAAGAGTTCTGTAATCTGTAGTGATCAATAAATCAATAAAAAATACTGCGAATCGAATATATATCATCTAGAAATTCAAAATTACATATATACATGTACGGTTCGCAGTTAGACTGAGGGGCGCTGCCGCATGACAGTTTTGTAATTAGTTTTGAATCGGAAACCAGCGCTGATTGTACGGCCCAATCCTCTATTCTTCTGTGAGAGTATTCCTTTTATGGTTATTAATAGTTTTCCAATTCCACAGCAGACCAAATAAAATGTTAAATTAGGGGGAATCTCCACAGTCACAATATCACCACCCACCAAAGCCCATCCAACTCGTTGTAAATTCATTGAGGCTTTACACGATGACAATTGCGCGGGCTTGATAGATGGCTGGAAACTTGCAAATTACCCATTGATGGTTGTGATCAAACTAACAATCGTTGAGCAGGGGCAGGCATCGATGGGGTATTATTAGATGGATTTATGTCATTGCATTCTCTAGCATTTGTTGCCAACAAAAGACTTGGGCAACAAACTTGTGCCGAAAGTTCCACCCACAAGAGAGTGAGAGAGGCATTACTTTGGGGCAAGTAATGAGCCAAGTCGGGTTGCCCAGGTTACAGCCAGCTGTTGTTGCCACTTCGGCGGCGTCTACCTCTGCTTCTGCTGCTGCTGCGGTTGGTGCTGTCAACGTCTACGTCAGCGACTGCGTTTGGCTTGTTGACCTAGTTCAACTTTTGCATTTTGCCGGCATTTTGTGGTGTATTGGTGTTGGCTGCTGCCACTTGGGCCACTTGGAGAGCCTGTTTTTATTAGCCACCGCTGCTTGGGCTAGCCGCAAGCCTACACACACACACACACATGTACGTACATGTATATATACTTGTGGCGGTGACTGTGCCAGCAGCAACCACAATTTCGCGGGCATTCAGTTGCTTTTGTTTGCGTGGATGTGCAAACGCAATTGAAATTGAAAGTGTTTGTTGTTGGGGGGGGATGGATGGATGCGTTGTCTTACACATACCACAGGCCCCTCGTCACCACCACCACACCTCCACGGAGAGCCAAAAGCTAACACCATTGGTTGGCTCAAAGCTGAAGCCGAAGCCGGTTGCAGGTTCATAACCCGCATGCGGCCTTGTGCTTTCAGCCATGTTACGGCTATCCATGTGGCTATCTGTCTTTCTGTCTGTCTGAAAAATGGGTTATGGGTCGGGTGTGCCTCGTCAAAGTCTACATAATATAAAGTATAAAGTAACAAAAAGTATGCCTCAGATGGCTATAAAAACATGAACTACGTTTTGCCCCATTGTTAAACGTTGTTAAAGAAGAAATCCCAGACGAAATTCCTAGAAAATATTTAATTTAATATTCAAAATAAAAAGAAACACATTTTTATTGCTTAAGATTGTGTCAGTTTTTTTCATGACAATTTAGTAGTTGTAAATCCTTAAAAAATTGCTCAAAGTTTAAAGTCTCAACTAATCTATGATTTTTTTAAGTTAAAAAAATATTTAAATTTATACTATTACCGAAATAACAGGAACTAACAAATGAACTATTCTACCAGGTATTCTAAACACTTGTTGCTCTTAAATGATCAGTCACATTCCATTCAGTGACATGTTTTCTAAAGTGTCAGTCATAAATTGTGTTTTGGTGTTCAGGCTTGGGTCATAAACAATATTCAATAGAACTAAGACAAGTAAATACCCTATATATACATATATATTCTTTCAAAGAATATTAGTTCCCTTCTTTCTAGGAAAAAACACCCATTAAACCAATTGTTAGAATATTTCCCGGAGGATTATTTTAATGGAAAAGCATTAATTATGCATAATATTTTTATGAGAGCTTCAATATTCTGAATATCGGGTGTTCCGACTCGTGTGTTGATTTTTTTTATTATTTACATAGCCTTCGTTTAATTGTATATTTTCAATCTCTCGCTATTATAATCTGTGGTTTCTTTATGCCATTTATCACCATTAATCACGCAGGTGTTTTTGAGTGCTTAAATTCTATTTCATACCATTAAAAATGGTTGCCGACGGCTTGTCAGTTCTTTAAACTAATGCCTAAAGCACTCTGATATGCTACCAGCTAATCACTTGAGATATCCGTTTGCTTTTCCATGTGGCAAAAACACCTTAACACATATCCGTTGTGGCTGACAAATTGCCACTCAAACCACTCGCAAGATTGCTGTGGAAAACCACTCGTTGAGATCGCATAGAACTTGATTGGCTTTGACTCAAGAGTCTATTCATAAGTAAAGCAAATACTGGCTATACATTGGCTATACACTGTCAGAAATCGATATGGGGATGCTAATTTTTCACAGAGCCGTAAATGAAAAATTGGCCTTCAGGCGGCAATCGATGACAGCGACCACCCGCCTGCAATACAACTGTGGAGCGGGGCACGAAGAGTGGTTGGTTGCTGTAAGCCAAACAAAACTTAAAGTGCAAAATCATTGGAGAATTGGCTGAAAGTGTTTCAAGTGTACGACGAGTGCCGCCGTTTGTGCGGAGTACACACAAG